TGTGGTTAATTTACTTGCTTTCATGACAATTAAACAAATCATGCTTTGTATCTCAGCCTCAAGGTCCTTATCATAAACCAAGATTATGCAGGTGTTCAAAATATTAAAATGACACTTTTGGCACCTGGGAAGACAGCTTGATCCCTCCCTGCTGAGGAGGTTAGATCCCAGTCCCATCCCTGGCAAGCCCCTTACTGACTGGAAATGCCACCACTCAATTGCAGACCCAACCAAGGGGCCACTGCGAGGGGTTACACTTACGTGTAACACCATGTAACACCACGGAGGCCACATTCTGGGGAAGACTGTGGGAGGCCTCTTTTCCAACAGTCGGATAATCTCTCACCAAAATCTTGTTCGAAGGCAGGAAATTTGAAAGTAAATAAGGCAAATAAGGCTAATTTTTTTTTTTCATTTTTAGAATTTTGCCAGAGGGTGTGTACACCCACTGGAGAAAGTCCAAAAGCTCCCCCATGGGGGATGGTAAGCTGCGATGTCCTCCCTCCAACTCTACCTCCATTTCAGGATTTTGAGCCCATGCACAGGTACCCAGCGTGTTTTTCAAATCAGTGGGCCTGGCACCAGAACAGTGCAGTTGGCTGTGTGGAAGGGCACTGCAACCAGACCTGAGAGAAATACAGACCGGAGCCTTCAGCCACACACGCTGATCATTAAGGAGAAAAAGTATTCTGGACGGTGGCACAGAGGTGGGAGTCCCTTAAGCTCAATCTTGAGGGACCAGCAGTTAGCATAATGGCTATGTCGCTGGACTCCCATGTAGCTGACCGCAGTTCGAGTCCCGGACCCGGTGGCTTAAACTCACACCAGGCGCTTCTGTGTGCATAGCCAAGATCCTGAGAGAAGAATGGAGAAGGGATTGCGGCATGGCCATCCCCCCTGGGGGGGTGAATTCTCGCTTTCTGTCGCGCTCTACAACAACAAAAAAAACCTCTCCAAAAAAAAAAAAAAAAAAGCTCAATCCTGAAGCAATGCACAGACAATGAAACTCTGCTAAAACCTGACGGTTTAGCGGGCGAAGGCTTGAGAGTCGATTCCGTAACGTTCGTCTCCACTGTCTTTCTCAGTTCCCTCATGGAAGCGAGCCGCAAACTCGCTGCTTTGCAGCGCTGGTCACAGGTGTAACCACTGCTCCGAGGAGTCCACCTCGGAGTGCGCCGCGAGTAAACCTCTTCGCCTGCGGGACGGCTTAGGTCCCCTCCGTTCAAGCTGACCGTCATCACCGGGGTAAGTGATGGGGATCCGCCCGTGTCGATGCTGCACTTCCTGAAAATACTCTGGTTATAAAGGTGCTTCTCCCCGGGCAAGCACACGGAAGGCCTCGTGTATAGCTGTAAAGGGGCACGAAGCTGCAATCACCCGGGACGGCGCGGGGAGAGCAGCGAGAGCGGCATGGCCGACGGCGGGAACCCCACGCGCGGCCCGCGAGCTCCCCGCACTCCGACACCCCGGCTGGCGGCCCTCGGAAACGGCCCGCCC